TGTGTGTTGCAGAAAAATGTGTTTAGAAATTGTGTATGGACTCTTGTTCTTGTTCCAAGTTACCTTCCTGTCCACTGATTTTTGCCTCTCACAAAAGCCACAAAGCCTTCCAAGAAGACAGTAAAGGCTCATGTCATGCTTGAGCTTTAGTTAGGCTGAAACTTGAAAGTTAAGCTGCACGACATAAATGAAATGTTTAGGTATTATTATTTTTATTACTATTATTTTTATTTATTTCTTAGTTTTAGTTTGTACCTTTTTACCTTGTTTAAAGTAATGTGAAATTGATTTTTATATTTCTTGATTTATGCCTTAATTTTAGGTTGTAATGTTTACCTTTTTTAAGGTAATGTGAAATTGATTTTTTTTTATTTATTTATTTATTTTATTTTATTTTTTATTTATATATATATATATATTTTTTTTTTATTGATATATTTGTATTTGCATTTTGAATGTAACTTGGCAATTAAATGCATTAAATGTGTTTAGTTTTAACGGTAATTAATGTATGCAATTTCAGCAGTAAAAATATTTATTTTTCTAAAAAGGAAACAAATTAGTTGTTTATTTTAAGAGACCTATCTTATTTTCTCTTGTATATCTAGTATTGCTCCTTAATAAAGAAAAATGACTTCTTATCCGATTACTCGATTAATCGATGGAATAATTGGTAGAATACTCGATTACTAAAATAATCGATAGCTACAGCCCTAGATATGATGCAATGAGCAGTTTAGCACGGCTGCTTTTATATTAAAACCTGCATGTTCAATATGAGGGACAAGAAGACTGACTATCAGTCACTCGAATTGAGGTTTTAGAAATTTTTGGCAGTATGTGTGAGTTTATTTTTGTAGATTGGTAGATCATGTGGTTAATGATTTAATGGACTGAGCAGTAGTGACAACAAAATTAAAACTAAAATTCTAAAAACTAAAATGAAAACTAATTCCTATTAGGTCAATATCTTTTACCAGTAATTTATATCATCTTGTGATTTCATTATCTAAAGATATGTCCAGACGTGCAGTCTACCAATAATATTACAGCGTCAGCACTGGTAATGAGACTAATGCTAACCGAGACTTGTCATTTGCACTTATATATTGTTGCTCTTTTGTTAGTTTTGACTGCTTTTATTGTCCTCATTTGTAAGTCGCTTTGGATAAAAGCGTCTGCTAAATGACTAAATGTAAATGTAAATGTAATGAGTGATGCTCACAGTACAGAGACTGGCGACAACAAGCAATAAATACGCTGTGTATATAAACACACTTTAAGGTGTTCTAAGTGGTTGCTGGTGTGTTGGTTTAATGTTAGGATAATTTTTGCTTAAGTGCAAAGAGCCCAGTTCTTGCTATTTCTGTTTTTATCATTTTATTGTCAATGATATTCTGCAATGTTACGGGAGAGTTCAAAAGATAGTGAATTAGTTTTTGTGTGTTATTTAAATCTTCACTTTTCTTTTGCACCTTTCATGAGTGGATGATATTGCTAAAACTATGATGGAAATTGGTTGTGCTGTTTCACGATTCAGCTGTGTCAGATTCACACGTGATTCCCCTGAGCCGCAGTCATTGATCAGAAAACTGGAGGAGTTTAGAGTGCCAAAAAGGCAATAACAAATCCATTTTGATGACATTTCTATTGATTCTCAGATCTCAAAGGAAACATAAACATCCGTTTTTGTTCTTGTTTTAAAAAAAAAAAAGGGAAAATGTTGAATTTGCAGCACATTGCCGCCACCCCATGGCTGGTATGTATGTGTATATTCCTGTTTTTCCCTTTCTTTTTTCTTGGAATCAGCATTTTCGTCATAGCAGTAAACAATGTTTCCATTTTTTGTGTGTCAGTTATGTATAGCCATGAGAAAATGAGGGTCATAGAAGCATGTTTGTGCCTGGCTGAATGTTGACCGCTTTTACACTAGATATATTAGCCTGGAATAAAACTGAGCCACGTGGAGCACTGTGCTGACGTTAGATGAGGTCAGAAGGAAGTTTAGTCCTGTTAGATTTTATTCATGGAGCCCTCACAGGTTGGTTCATTCAAATCACTACAGTTGATCTTTATTCATTGCAGTGTTACCTTTCATCCAAGCAGTTTATGCATTTTTTATGAAATAAGGGAATGTGTTGAGCTAAGAGTTTTGAGGTGGTCTGAATAGGCTGGTTTTCTTCTAACAACATCTTTCTTGCTTTCTTCAGGTAATCTTGGTGCAGGTAAACCCAGGAGAGGCCTTCACGATCCAGCGAGATGATGGTCAGTTTCAGTGTATCACAGGTACGTTTTTCTTCTTAGTTCCTCTTAAGAAGGATTTCTGTGTAATTTAACCCATAATTACATTAGTCTACGAGCAAGTGGCGTTTCATTTTGCCAAATCACAAGTTCAGATGATTGTAATTACCAGTCTGAGACTTACCGCGTAATTGACTGGAGTTAAAGTGCTGATTAATACCTGTAAATTCTTGTTATTGATTAGAGAGATTTGAAGCCTGTGTTATACTTTCCGCGTCCGCGAGTCCGCTAGGGTATGGTATGCGTGACGTAAAAATCGTCATCGGAGAGTGTGCGCGGACATCCGCGTGCCTCCCATTTTTTGTGACGGCGCGGACAAGTACGAAGAAGCCCGTTGCTACTCGAACCTGTACACTCCGTCGATAAAACAATATAAAGACAGCCAGATGTGCAATAACTCTGGGCAATTCTTTGTTCACATGTTTGTTTATTGTTCAAGCCGATCTACCACGCATGTATGGAACACTTCCGCGGAGCGGACCATCAGCGTATGCTTTCGGAAGTATAAATACAAGTAGTCCGCGTCTGCGCTGTCCGTGTACGCGTCCGGATTGCTCATGCGGAAAGTATAACACAGGCTTGAGTCTCCTTGTTCCCAGATACTTGAGGGTAACATTTTTTTCTTTTCATAACACCCACTGTCCCTAAATGCCTTCTCTAAAATGTAAGCTATCCTGTGATTTTTCTCTTTAATCTAGTGTTTAGATTTTCATGGAATACAACTAGAATTTTCTATTTTTGGTAAAGTAAAAACGGGTATGCCCTTATAAAAAGACGTTATTAGGTCCCAGTTTATGACCCTGAGAGTGATTTGGAGCATCCAAACATCTAGAAGTCCTTAATTTTCAGTAAGAGTTGTTTATTTGAGGCAACATGAGTGACTGAGACCAATGCAACAAGGTTGAGTTTAATTTTATTCACAAGCACAATGACACTGAGTGCAACCAGTGAATCTAACATGATACACTGCTCTATCGGCCTTGTTTTGCAATGCGGAAGTAAGCTATTTTCTGTCAAATGTGTGAGAATAACAATTCGTTAGCCACTAACTAGATAAATAACAAAGTGCAGTATTGACTTTTGAATTTTTTTTGTTGTAATTAGCCACGAGTCATGTTTTGATTTCTTTTGGTTTCTATTTTTGTTGGCGTGATATAAAAAAGAATCAAGCAATAAATCAAATTTTCAAGGGTTTTCTTTGTGTGTGTGTGTTGCATTGTCCTGTTCGCCCTTTGACACAGTCAAATCTCAACATTATGCTTTCATTGAGGGCAGACAAAGTACTTGATGCAGGAAAATTCCTGGTTGGGTCGAGGTCCTGAAACACTGTATGTTCTTCAAAAATATTTATATTTTATTGAACTACAGTAGAATCCTTCCACTGAACTCACTTTCCACACGACTACATCATGACTCCTAGCAGATCCCCCAGTCTGAATCAACACATCCTCATTCACTAAGAGAGCCATCCAGTGTTGGGTCTAATTGCCATATGTGTTGGAAACTCAGTCACAACAGTCAGCTAGTGTTTGGTGGGTCTCGGCAGGGTTGCAATGAGATGTCTTACACCCCCTCTCAGCTTGCGAAGAGCGCTTTTTGTCTGCAGCCATTGTGTGGGACGGTGCGAACACGCTACGAACTGCCAACCTCCCTGATTGGCAGTTGCTGCAATAGGAAGAAGTGGAGTGTGACTGTAATTGAAAGATTACTGTGCCTTGGGAAGCTATTGATTAGAAAAACAGTAGCATCCAGCTCATTGTATGCGGTAAGCCTGATTGTTCTGCTCCTAGCTGGCCTGATTAGCTTGGCAAGGATTTGAACTTGTGAAAGTAAGCAGTCGGCAGCATTGAAATGAGATTGACACTTTAGCATTTAACTGAAAACCCAAATGGAAATGGTAGCCAATTTGTTCTGAAAACCTAAGGGCATCATTTTTTTCTTTTGCATTTATGACTAGCACTTTGTTAGCTTGTCTCTTATCAATGAGCGACACTCAGGTGATCATCCATCCAAATGCTGCATTAAGATTAAAGCAGAAGTGCAACACTACTCACCACAGGATTTGGGGAAACTATGGAGGGTGTAAGTGCAGTGCACCAAAAATGAATGTGAGTTTGCAGTCAGTTTTGGAGGTTGGGGTTTTAGCAGACTAAATGATTGGAGAAGTTTGTCATACATCACCAGTGAGACACCTGTATTTTTCACTGGAACATCGAGTTATGACATTTTGATGAAAAAAATCTATACTTGGAAGAATCTCTCACGTTACGATCTATAAAATACATGAATTTATGATTCCATGGCGGCAACAGGAATAGTTCTGTCATCATTTACTCACCCTCATGTGGTCATGTTCTTTTGCTGAACGCAAGAATAATGTACTGGTCACTTTTTTTCCAAGCAATTACAGTGAATTGGTACTGAGGCATTGCCTATGTCCAGTTCATTAACAAAATATTCTTATGAGCCAGATTTTCTTTTATTTTGTTATTTTTTGAGTTGATTGAACCAGTCCGAATGATTCATCAATGAATCAGACTGATCTTGTTCCTGAATAAGGAAGTTGCTTCCTATTTGTGTTCTCATTCAGTGTAATGGCACGGAAAGGTGTGAAAAATATTTAAAAATTTCATCTTTTATCATCTGCTGAGCTGAGTGAATCACTAAATGTTGTCACTGTAATGCACTGACACTGATTTTTAATGTGCTTCCTGTTGACATGTGCCAAGGTCTCTGTGGGACAAAGAAGCCGTTCCCTTTCAGGAAAAGGGCCAGAGTCACTAAATTTAGACGCGGGCTTCACCACTCTCTGAGAGGAAGGAGTTGATGAGGAAGAGTAGCGTTAGGGCGAGTGGGGCTGCTGTGCACTGGTCTGTCACTGGAAGCTGTTGTCTGTCAGTGACGTGAATGGAGTGATGACTCACCGTTGCGGGAGCCGAGGGAAGAGTGTGTGTTTGTGTGTGTGTGTTTAACCTCTAACCTTAGAGTAAGCCGGAGGTAATGTTAAAATCCGCAGGATAAACCAGAGGGAACTGGTTTGTCCCTCTCTTCCTGATTTCTTTTTCAGTCCAGATGGGCGTTTGTTCTATTTCTGAATTCATTCATGTGTTTTCAGTAGCTGGAAATACATAAACACCACACACACACACTACGGAGCTTCAGAACTGTCTGTTTAATATGAAGCAGCAGTGTTAAGATGGGAAGAGTGAACTTAATTTAAGATATCCCAGACTGCCGGGGGTGGACTGTGGTTGAGAATGACATCAGAGGGGTGAACCTTGTTAACACAGCCCTTTAACATCACAGCCTTAACGTTTCTTTGAACGTTTGCCACCCTAGATGTGGATATTGGTGTTCAGCCTGTAAATGCCATCACGCTGGTTTGTGCACACTTTTTGTGTTTTTGTCTCTTGATTACTCATGTAGGATGTTAGCCATGAGTTTCCAGTTACTGACGTTCTTTCACTGTCTGACTAACTGGACTTACGGATAGTGGTCGACTGAAATTGGTTTTTTGACTGCCGATGCCGATATCTTGGAAAGCAGGGTGGCCGATGGCCGATATAAAGCAGATATAATTTTATTTATTTTAATATTTAAGAAATTTAAAAATAATTTGAAAATGGATAAAAAAATAAATGTGTTAAATAAACATACTTATACTTTAGATGACAAAGTATTTTTCACAAATAAATAAATATTTAATAAAAAT